GACTGCACATTCCTCTGCAACGTCTTCACAGGGCTCTAAAGGGTAGTAATAAAGTATTGTCACTAAAGTTTTACCTTCCGCTATTACTACTATTATTATTAGCACTACTATCACAATACTACAGCCAAGTCGTTTGAAAGAGGCTAACATCAATCCGAGTTTGGACCTCAGCGGAACAAATGTTACAACAGTTTTTGGCAAAACTTTTGAACTGTGTTCTATTCAGTGAAGCGTCCATTTGGCGTAGTCAGTTTTAAAAACTGCAAATTTGATTATGAAATAAATTCCTTATCATTAGTTACTATAAACTAAAACAGTGAATAGCGTCGAAAGCGCGTTCTGATTGGCTACTAAAACTACGAAAATCTCTTGTGATTCACCTCCGAGCAACGCGCGTGGGATTTGTACCCGAAAATATTGTAATCGTTACAAGAATAGATGATTCAAATAATCTTTTCGAGCCGTATTAACTCACTGTTTTAGTATAAACTAAACAACTATTCACCTCAGTGTCGGTAGCTCGCAGTGGATGTTTACCTCGCTGCTTCACCGCTTCGCCGCTCGGTAAATATTCAACACTAGCCACCTGCACTTCGGTAAATTGTCGTTAACCATCCGCTGATCGAGCAAGATAACGATCCTCGTTAAACAGTAGCAAATATGATAACGATCGATTAAACTAATAATGAGTATTTACCTTGTCCTGGACAAAGGTTTGTGTTGCAATGCTTCCTTTGTTTCGTTAAATGTAGACTTTTAGGAGGACAACTTCTGGTACGAACCTGCGCTCCGCCACCACAATTCCTACTGCAGCCTCCGTAAGATCCCCACTCACCGCAATCACCTAATTACAATCAACAAAAGTAAAATGAAAAAGGGGTCTGAAATAAATGATGGAAATGCTGATTTAAAGGGAAACTTAACGCGTGTGTCCTACTTATATACATCATGCATGTAGCTATGACACAACGATTATTTACGATCAGATAATCGTAGTCATTATTCTAGAAGCCTTGTACTAATTGTCGTCGTACACACCTGAAATAAGCGTACACACCTAAATTGCATTTTTTGCTCAGAAAATGTTATTTTGTAGAAGTTATCACAGAGGCAAGGCTATAATTGAAAGACATAATGAAAAGAAACCTGACTCGGAAGAACACTGCATGCAGAAGGTAACTGGAAGCAG